ACCAAAAACAGAGCAGAAGAAGGATAATTCCCTGCAATCTGTTAATGCCTTGTGATTTTATTATATCCAAGCAACAAAGATAAGAGCCAGCCAAGGGCAGAAACATTTCCAAAGTAAAGGGAACATCTTTGCAGAAAAGAATGAAGGTATCATCAAATGTTCTGAAGGATCCGGAAAGCTCAATAGAGAGGGATTTTAGAATTGTGTCAATTGATTAGTTGACCCAGTTGGCCATCATCAAGAAAAAACATTCTACCAGGATAAACAAGGACATTACTATATCTTGAAGTGAGAAAAATCATTATTGCCCCCCTGCCATATGGAGAAATATGGAAGCTACTTACCTCAAATTCTATGTTAATGATTCAATTTCATAACATTCAGAAGCAGACACAGATCAACCAATCATCAGGAAATGAGAATATGTCAGTTCAAAAGAGGTACCATCATTTGTAGGAAACTCTCAAACACAATTAGCAAGGGGTATGTGCAGACGTTACGTTTAGTTTCATAGTTTCATAGTAGTTAGGGGTCAGAAGGGACCTGAATAGATCATCTAGTCTAAACCCCCTCCACTGGTTGGAGCACACGCTGGGATCACATGACCCCAGACAGGTGTTCATCCAACCTCTTTTTTAATTTATCCAAGGTAGGAGCAAGAACCACTTCCCTAGAAAATTGGTTCCAGATCCTAGCTACCCTGATAGCAAAATAGTGCCTCCTAATCTCTAACCTGAACCGATTCTATAGCAGCTTCTGGCCATTGTTCCTCATCACCCCAGGTGCTGCTGGGGAGAATGGGGCTCTTCCTATTTGCTGCTGATCTCCCCTAACAAGTTTGTAGGCAGCCACCAAATCCCCCTTAGCCTCTGCTTGCTGAGGCTGAACAGGTTCAGGTCCCTGAGCCTGTCTTCATAGGGCCTGCCCTTTTGCCCTCCAACCAAGTGGGTGGCCCTCCTCTGAACCCTCTCAAGGCAGGCCACGTCCTTCTTAAAGTGTGGTGCCCAAAACTGGACACAGTACTCCAGTTGAGGCCTGACCAATGTCACGTAGAGGGGGAGTATCACCTCTCTGGACTGATTTGAGATGCATCTTTGGATGCATGACAAGGTATGGCTGGCTTTGCTGGCTGCAGTCTGGCATTGGCGGCTCATGTTCATCTTGGAGTCAATAATGACTCTAAGATCCCTTTCCGCCTCTGTGCTCACAAGGGGGGAGCTCCCCAGCTTGTATGTATGCTGTGGATTCCTTCTCCCCAGGTGCAGCACCCTGCATTTATCTACATTGAACCCCATCCTATTATCATCTGCCCACCTCTGTAGTCTCTCTAAGTCTAATTGCAGCCTCTCTCTCCCTTCGAGCGTGCCTACCTCTCCCCACATCTTGGGGTCATCGGCAAACTTGGACAACGTATTTTCCACCCCCTCGTCCAAGTCACTAATGAAGATGTTGAACAGTGTAGGCCCCAGGACCGAGCCCTGAGGGGCCCCACTGTTCACATCCTGCCAGGTCGAGTATGACCCATCCACCACCACTCGTTTAGATTAACCTAATTAGGGTTACGTTGATCTAAATGCCAATCTGTGCAGATGTTCAGGAGGCTTAAATCAGGCCAAAAATAGTGGGTCTCAGCTACATTGGTTCACCTAAGTAAGTGAACTAATTTAGATCGTGAATGGGTTAGCCCAATATATTGAATGTCTGGGAGCACAGTCCTGAGGCTGGGAAAGCCTAGCCGCTTGCCCCAGTCGCAGGGTTGCTCTCTTCCTACCGTGCTGACCCTGATTGGGTTATTTTTAGTCCCCAGATCCCTCTATCCCCAGACTGACAACCCCACACTGTAACCTCCCCCCTCCCCCTCACAGACTCACCATCCCCAATCCTGCCAACCCCCACCTAGACCTGCCAACCGCCTCCCCACCCCCCATGGACCTGCTAGCCCTCCCAATCCCACCTGCTCCTCCTTCCACCATGAGTTACTTACATTTGGTTCCCAGCACAGCTCTCAGCACCAGAAAACCTCTGCACACCACTCCTGATTTGCAATCACTCAGTTTAAAACAAGCCATGTAATCATAGACTAGGTGCAGCGAATTTCTGCACAAGCCCCGGAATATGAAGACCTAAAGCAATGCTGACATACAAGTGAGCTGTATGTCAATTGTCCCAAACTGTCCAGGATAATACTAATTTTGTGTTACCGAATGTGACTTTGTTTCACATTTGGAAAGTGATACACCTAGCTCCCATTTGGTATAACAGGGGTTCTCAGTGGGTAAGCAGAGGTATTACAAGTGGAGTACAAGCACAGGTATGTGTGTGTGTTGTGGGGGGAGGGGGTATGACAATTGTTAGTTCTCCAAGTATTCCTATGCGGCCAGGCAGTGTCATGCTGAAATCCTGCAGTGTTTTATGTGGGTAAATTAGCTCTACTAAGTGGCAGAGCTAATTAACCCATCTACAGCACTGCACTGTACATTATTCTGTTTCCTAGAACCAAAACTTGTTCATCTTTCCAATGATTATTTCAAGTGAATCTCCGCCCTCAGATACAGCAAGAGGCTGATGGATGACAAAAAATTATTATTCATGTTAACTGGAGGCAATGCACACACTGGCACACAAACATTTCTAATACATCCAAGCACAGGATCCTACCTACCACCACAGTGGAGAGAACCATGTGGTTGTAGGGTCTCTCCATAGTTCTCTTTCTGATCATCATCATCTGCTGTTACTCCCTGTTAAATCTTCCTTTATATTCTTTTAATTATATATTTTAAAGAAAGTTGACTGCAACAGAACACAATTTCCTTAATTTCTGATTGGTTACTTTTAATTTTCCTTATTCTGGATCAATGAGGGAGCACCTGTCCAAACAAGCTCACTCGATAGCAATCCTTGAAGTGTGTTAGATTCTAACTTTCTGGGAATATACAGTTTCTAGCAAGAAGCAATTTCTTGTCTCTCTTGACTTGACCTGAATACTGAGAATCTTTCTCAGCTTCTCTCATCAAATATATTTAGTGGTCACAGTGATTGGTACAGAAGTTCCCTTGCACTTTAATCCATTTATGCCTACACCAGAAGCTTGTCATGAATTTAGACACTGGCAATACATGCACGTACTATTGAATCATAATTCATTCAGTGACAAAATATTGAGTAAATGTAGGACTGTAGATAATGTTCTCCTCATTCAGGAGATTTAAGTCTGACACCCCCTTTCTGCCTGCAGTCTTACCAACAAGTACACAGAGCAGGGTGTTTCTCAGGAGATAGGGGCTTAAAAATGAATTTCATCTGGGTAATGAGAGCTTGGCTAAGCATTCCTCTTAGTTCTGCTTTAGTCCTGCTACTTTATCCTTTAGTCCTGCTACTAGACATGAGTAACCAGACTGCCATACATCAGTGCATTCATCAATGCAAGTCTAGGATCCCCTGCAGTCCCTGCTTAGCTCTACACTTTTTCATCTGTTTGTATATGTTCAGGGCTTTACCCCAATACTGTGGAGGGTAAAGCCCCACAGGGAACATCTTTCCTAATGTCAGCGCACTGATGAGCAATAGTACATGTCATCACATTGACATGCATGTCTCTCCAACACTGCTTCCTGGATGGCTCACATTTATGACATCTGAAATTGAACTTAGTTTTCCTCCTGTCTTCTCCATTCTTCTGTTCCATTACTACTGATGATGCAACCACCCTTCTCATCTTATGTCCTCCAAAGCTTGATTCCTCCATAGCTTGTTTTCTGTCTGTTTACCCAAGTTTTGTCATTTATTTATCATAGTCATCTCTGAATACCTCCCAAAGATCGGCAAACAACATTTACAAATGTTGTCCCAGGGAGGGTTTTCTTTACCTTCCCCAAGTCAATCAAGTAAATATTTGCTTGTTGTTCAAGCTTTTATTTCGTCCATCTTCCTTTTGCTTACTCATGCTCACTCAAACTTTCTTTTTGCCTTCATGTTTCTTTACACTTCTCTTCAACCCTTTTTATTACTTTGCTGGCTGTAACTGTGGATCTGAGAAAACCAAGTCACAGGCAAGCCAAAGCCAAGTTAGACACACACACTTTTCAGAAGATTGTGAGCTTAATAGTGATTCTGAAGTCCTGCTCTCATGAGCATCCTCCTCGATATAACTCTGTAGTTTCTGAGGCATGTAGCTTCCAGTAGACGTAGTTATCTGAGAAAGGGGTCTTTTCCTGGTCAACGCTACATAGTTCTGCCAGCAGAAAAATCAATGAAACTATGACTGTGTTCACTCTCACCCCTTCATTCTGCCACAGAGGAACACCAGCTCTGCAAGTGACAGAAGGCTACTGCCATTACCTGACAGCAGACAGAAGGTGCGTGTAAATGTATCTGCTTTCTGCTGGCTGCTGTGTCCCCTCTAACAACTGGTGTCTCGCAGGGGGACTTGTGCTCCCTGCCAGCACAGCTGCTGAAGTGGAGCCATGTGACTCTGACAGGAGTTATATGTGGCTGCTAGAAGCCATGCAAGTGTGTATATACTCTGGCAGCCTCCCTGTGGCTACTGCTGTCTGCAACCACAAGCCTTGCAACATAGGCCAGTCCTTTCTCTGAGATACTTACTGCCAATTCCATAGCTTTAAATTTGACTAGGTATTCCAAGCTCTTTAACAGCAGAATCCTCCAGCCCAGTTATAATGAATTGCAGCAATCTAGCCTGTAGGCCATAGATGTGTGAATCATCGTGACAGGATGGGACACAGACATTTAAGTAGACCCAAGTGGAAGACAGCATGTTGCAGCTGCAGAAATTTGGGACTCCCGCAGTAATGAAGAGTCCAAAGGAACCACAAAGCTTCAAACTGAATTAACTTTCTGAGGCTAGATTACCTTAAGGAAAGATTATCTTTCAACAATGAATGCTTAGTTTTTTTAAATATCATACTCCATGTGAAACTATGTGAGCATCATATATTTTTTTCATTGCATTTCTAAGTTCTTTTTTACTTTTTCCCCAGCATTCACTGGAACAACTTTCCTTTGTTCTTCTGATTAGACCATTTCTCCAAATCACTTCTGAGCCTGAACTGACCTCCAACAAAGATTAAACCTAAGCAGCAGAGACCTGCACTGGAAGCTTCTATTGGTATAACTTTTGATAGCTGCCAACAGTGCACAATTGGCTGCGTTTACTAGTGATATCCAGGAGAGTGTCATTGCGAAGCGGCAGTGAAGCCTGGACAAGTATCCCATTGTCTCTTCACTGCTACCAGTAAGCACACTTCCTTATTTCTACAGTACATTATGAGATCCCAGCATTGTGCTTGTGGTATTTGTAGTTGCTCAGAATCCAGGTCCCATGGTTTCCTTTCTTTTATGTCATAATATTCCCCAGGGTCATTAAACTGACATTAAATGGCAGGTCAGGAATGGTACGTGATGCTTGCATGTTCAAGCTTTTTGAAAAGCTGCAAGTCAGAATAATTTAACACAGCAGTTCCCAAACTCTGACAGATTGTGCACCTCCAATTTAAAATGAAGTACCACCAGCACATACCTTAAGTACCACCAGCTCATTTTTCAGTTCAACCTTAAATACCACCAGTAATTTTTTGTCATATAGAGTAATTATAATAAATCTGTTAATGGTACCACTGACAGGTTGTCTGCGTACCACTGATGGTACCCGTACCACAGATTGGGAACTGATGATCTAGCACATGAACAATGGTGGAGTTGCAATGCCAGTAGTGATTCTGAGGGGCCCAGTCTACCAGGCTATGAAATCATTCTCTGGACACTGAACAACAGCAAGGAGCAACTTAAGCAGGGGCTGGATGAAATGCTGTTGGCAGGAGGAGGAGAAGGGCAAAGCTTTTGATTTTGAAGAACCAGACAGACGAGCAATAACGAGTCCCTAGAGACACTATATGACTGGGGAAAGTCTCGCAACCCCCCTGAAGAGTGTGCCATAGTAGTGCAGCATACTGTACTCATAACCTTCTCTGTGGACTTGGATAGATATAGATTGTATAGGTGCAGAAACTCTCCCCTGATATGTTCTCATGCTTCCAAGTGCTCAGGCATCATGGAAGAGGAAACAGCTCAAGTTAAAAGCAAATTGTTAATAAGTAGGGTGGGGAACAGAGCCAGAGATTAAAGGGAGAAGTGTGGAAGGTAGTACTAGGGGAGGGATTAGAGGACAGGGATAATGCAGTATGCATTGCCAAATTTACTAGAAATAGGCAAAAAAAGGTTGATACATCACCAGACAAAATCCTAAAGAAGACATTTGTTCAGGGTGGCTTGATGTCACCCTACACCCCATATCCAGTACACTTGTTACATCATCTGGAATAGATGGTTGGTTTTCA